AGTACGGCCTGGGCTGAGCAGCGCCTTGGGCTCGGATCCCCTGGATCCCTGGGGATTTGTCTTCATTCATTTGGTGCCCAGTCTCTACCTTCCTTCAGGCTAGCTCCCAGCCCCATTCCTCCGACCATAAGCAGCGACTATCTCCTTGTCCCCGGTACCTATGGAAGAACACCTCTACAATCGTGGGTCTTATCTCTCCTCCTCTTCCCATCCAAATGCCTGGGTGCCCCTTGGGCCTTCAGTACGCTGCAGGAAGGCTGGCAGCCTGTGGTGCCCGTGACCACAGCCTGCAAACAGAGTCCACCCGGAGCCAGCCGGGGCTTTTACGCTGAGGACCAGACCCCTACTCACTCCTCAGCCTGCCAAGCAGACATACTCTCTCTCTTCACAATGCTCACCACCTTTCTGAACCTCAGGGTCCTTTTAAAAAAGATTTTATTTACTTATTCATGAGAGAGGGAGAGAGAGAGAGAGAGAGGCAGAGACACAGGCAGAGGGAGAAGCAGGTTCTCTGCAGGGAGCCCGATGCGGGACTTGATCCCAGGACCCCAGGATGACACCCTAGGCTGAAGGCAGGCACTCAACCGCTGAGCCACCCAGGTGCCCCCTGAACCTCAGGGTCCAACCTTCCACGGGTTGATGGGAGGATCTGGCAACATCTCTGAATACAAAGTGGTCTGGGGAAAATCTTACCCAATTGTAAGGGATTATGAAGCCTCGATAATGTTTTGGGATAGTAAAGTCTGGAAGGAAGGGGAGGAGGAGTAGGAGGGGAGGCATGCAGGGGTCAGTAGGAACCTGCAGTGACGTGCCTCATAGCAAAGTCCCATTGTGCAGACGAGAATGCCAAGTCAGGCTGAAAGCTTGCACCATGCCAGGGTTCATCCAAGGCTGGGGCTAGTGACAGATGGGCACAGGCCCTCTTGGCTCTGTATTTGGCTAAGGTTAAGCCCAGGCCAAAGAAAGGTGTCTTGAGGCTGGTTGTTGCCACATATTTCTCCATCTTCATGATGAGCAGCACTTTTTAGCCACAGGCCCTGCCTGGGCCCGAGAACAGTCTCTGAAACACTGGGAACTCAGCAGGGTAACCAGAAAATGGGACAGTGTGGTGGCAAGAGGAGGAGGAGGAGGGGTGCTGGGGCTGGCAGAAGCTGGGGCTGAGGCCAGTTCAGAAGCACCTGGTTGGACCAGACCCCCGTGGTTTCTCCTGGGGTTGTCCCAACACAACCCCTGCCTGAAGCTAACCTTGAGAGAGGAGCTCACCCATCCTGTCAGCAAGCATTGCTGAATACTTCTGAGGCAAGCACTGAGTACCAAGGGTTACCGAAAGGACTTGAAGTAATAGCTCCTGACCTCAAGGCCTCATAGAGGCCCATGGGACACAGAGAGGGCAGGAGCTAGGGGATGCCAGAAAATACTGTTCTCAGGAGCTGGCACATGAACAGACTTTTTTTAAAAAAAGATTTTATTTATTTATTCATGAGAGACACAGAGAAAGGGGCAGAGCCATAGGCAGAGGGAGAAGCAGGCTCCCTGCAGGGAGCTCCATGTGGGACTTGATCCCAGGACCCCGGCATCACGCCCTGAGCCAAAAGCAGACGCTCAACCACTGAGCCACCAGGTATCCCTGAACAGGACTTTTTCAAGGATGGGCCGATTGACAGGGCTGCAAAGAACATTTTGGGTCAGGGGTCCAGGCACAAAAGTGGAAGGGTGTAGCCACAGCAGGAGGCTAAGAGCCAGGAAAGGCCTCACAACAGTTTAGCTGTAGTGTTAGCGAGGGGGACCCCCTCAGGAATCTGGGGTGTTGTCTTACAAGATACAGTGGTTTATACCTTGAGTCAGTGGCCAAAATGTGGGGCTCTTTGTTCTGCAGCCAGGAAACAAGTCCAGAAACCAAGAAGTCCAGTGTGGCAGGTGGCATCCTTAATGAATATGCCAAATAACCTCCGCTCAAAAATGACTGCTTCGTGCATAGTGGGCCCTGATGACTACTGTTCTAGAACCATGGCTCCAGGTGTCAATAATGGCTTCGCTGTGTTACAAACAGAAATTGCCTGACCCTTTGCCCTTCAGGGTATTTCATATGACTAAAAAACAGGTACAAAAGTGAATTATGGTGTTGGCAAGTGTGCCACTTGGGATTCTTAGTTAGAAACAACAGAAACCAACTCTAGTTAATTTAAGCAAAACGGTTTTATTGGAAAGCTATGGGGGAGTTTGGGGAATTGTCGGGGAGGCTAGAGAATCAGAAGCTGGCAAGGAAAGGGGAACCAGGCATCCAAGGGCACAGCTACATCCTGAACAGGAGCCTGGGGCCTCTAGCCCTGGCAGCATGATCCCACACTGCCCCACCACCACCGCTGCTACCACTGTTGCCACTGCCACAGTAGCATGGGAGGAAATGCTTCATGACCCAGACCCTTCGGACTTCCTCCCTCACTCTACACTTAAAAGTATTGGGGACAAGTGTCTAATATGCTCACCTGAGGTCCCAGGGCCAAGCCCAGGCTACTCGGGAGCCTGGGGCCCAGATCTTGGGCCCTGTGGTTGTCCTTAACTCAGAAGAGCCTTACCTCCAGCACGACCCCCTGTGGCAACAAGCTTCTCCAATACCAGCAGGAGGCTGCAGGAGCCGGAGAAGAGTCCCCCGATTCCAATTTACTAATTGTGACTCTAAGGGAAATTAGGGCAGCTGCTCTGCAAGGGAGCAGTGAGGAGATAACCAGGCCCCAAGGGTGCCTCTACTACACCTCTTGGCATGGTGCCAGTCAGGGTACAGCAAAGGTTGACATTAGGCAAACCACCACCAGCCCACCCTTCAGAAGACCTCTAAGGTCACAGACTTCTGAGTCTCCATGACAGTTGAGGTGCTGGTTGGAGGCCAGGGGCAGGGAAGACAGAATGGCTGTAAGGGACAAAGTGACAATATCAGCTTGGACCACTTGCAGAAATAAAAGACTGCAGCTTCTTACCCATGTTTCTGTACTTGCAGTGAAAGAATCATCATCATCTCACTTTTTTAAAATTAGGAATTGTTTTGATTTTACCTATGTTGTTAATATTCATGAAAATCAGTGATACTGCAGGAAAATCAAGCAAATTAATTATTTCAGGAGAAAAAAATCTAAAATCCCCTTCCTCACTCTTTTTTCCCCAACCCCCTGGCCCTCCCCACAGAGGTAACCACTGCTGTCAGTCAGGTAAGCAGCCTTCCAGACACCTTTGTGCATTATGATATATAGTTTGGATTTGGAAGGTTTTCTTTTACATTAAGACTGTACTTACTGCTCCACAATATACTTTTAAGAAACACTTCACAGTATGTCTCGGAGATCTTTTTGTGTCAGTGTGTACAATTTTTAACTGCCATACAGTATTAGCTCCATACTACCAAGTATCTAAGTTGGGCCAAGGACATGCCCCATTTTGCATCTTGAAAGCTAGCTACTCCCCAAACTGTTCTCCAACAAGGCTATCACTTGTGTGTCTTGTTTTTTCCTAGCCCGAACTGGATATTATCATGAAGAAAAACTATGACTTTCTGATGGACACAGTGTGTTTTGCTGTTTTGTTCGTTTATATGTCACTGATCGCCCATGAGGTTGAACATTAACCATATCCAGGTTGTTGAGAGCTAAAAACAGCTCTCATAAACTGTCAGTAGGAGCTTAAATTAGTACAGTCACTTGGGAAAGTAGTCTGGCAATATCCAGTTAGGGTGAAAATGCTTAAACCCAAAGGACCCCAAAACTTCCCCTCTGAGCCTGAACACCCAGGAATTTCATGTCCATGTACTTACCCCTAGAGAAACTCACACATGTGCACAGAGAGATATCTTTTAAGTATATTCATGGCTGCAAAATACTGGGAAGAAACTAAATGCCCGCCAATAAGGGAATGGATCAACTGTGATGATTCATACAAGTGAATATCTATTATACAGCAGTTAAAATGCATGAACTAAAGCTACATATATCAAAAGGGTTAAATATCACAATGCTGAGTGAAAAACTCAAGTTGTAAAAATGATACATACATTCTATCAATTATGTCCACTTAGAAAACAAACATTCTATATTGGCTATGGATATATACAAATATACATAAATATGTACACATACACACACGTAAGTCTAAGAACCTAAGAACTCAGACGAGAAGTAAACACACCATTTCCTGGGTAGTGCTAACCTCTGTGGAGGAAGAAAAGTAAATAGGACAGGTGAGGAACTTCACTTGTACCTGAAAAGCTCTATTTATTGGAGAGAGAAAGAGAATTGGAAACCAATATGGCCAAATGTTAAAACCTGTTCACACTGTGTAAGTGGGTATCGCTATCTGCCACAGCACCTGTCTGGCATATATTTTTCTAATCCTTTTGTGTCATTGTGTCAAGGTATACAATCAGCCTAGAGGCTTGTTTGTTATTTGGGGTTTGTGTTGGGGTGGGTTTTTTCCCCCCATTTCCTCTTAGAGTTTCTTTTCTTTTTTAAGATTTTATTTTTTTAAGTGATCTCTACACCTGACATGGGGCTTGAACTCACAACCCCGAGATCAAGAGTTGAAAGTTCTACTGGCTGAGCCAGCCAGGCGCCCCTCTCTGTGAGGTTCTACTTCCTGAAAGGAGATTTTAACTCCTTCCCCCCATACTCATTTTGGATTTGCTTCTACCATTGTTCTTTATTTTTACCTGCTTTCCCACTGTCTCTTTCCTTCCCTCAGACTGACAGAGTACTCTCTATTTGACTTTTGCCCCTAGAGTAGTTTAACAGTCATACACTTTACTCCTACTTTTAGAAATCATCATCCCTAATTTTTTGCTGTTGTTGGGAGTCAGCGTTTCCAGTGACACTCAAAAATTTTTCTACTCTTGGGAGCACCAAAAAAACAAACAAACAAACAAAAAACCCCGTTTTTGATGCAAGGGCAAGCAATCAATGATAGAGTCACTGAGTACCACCATTTTAGACAAAACCAAACAATTCCACTATGCCATGTAAAACCAAAAGGAGAACTTTAATAAGCTTTTACGGCACTGCAATTACAGGAATATTAACCCATAACATGCAATAGAAATTATGATGCCTTCTGGACATATTTGACAGATAAACCTGTCGTTACAGTTAACAGCAACATATTCTACTGAAGAAAACAAATGCAACTTAGTTCAGCTTTCAGGTTAGAAAATGTATGTTTTTACTGTAATCTCGAGTAGCATTTAGAAAGTTTAGTTTTCCTTTTCTAACCTCTAAGAGACAGTTATGATTTTTTAATGCAATCATAGTATGCAACCGCTTTCACATTGGAAATAACCACAAGGAATGACAGGTGTGGATTAATCGACTGATTGGTTTTCATTTCAATTGTTAATTTTGAGAGGGCTCCTGCAGTATTGTGTATTTCAGATGGGGAAAATCATCTGACCAGGTATAAAGAGCCTTGGCCTTAGAGCGGGGGAGGGAACATGCAGCGGCACACAGGGCAGGTGCCTGATTTCTGAAGCCAGATGGACACACACGGCTTGTGGAAATAGTGGTGGCAAGGCAGCTCAGTTGCCACCTCCCCCTTCACATATTCACTGCAACAGATGGGGCAACACATTTCCTGCCCCACTGCACTGTGATCTTCAGTGACCAGGATCTCAGGGAGAGTGTCGATGCTCTCCTTGCTCGCCGGTGGGTTGGCCACCTCCACGTCCACTGCGAGAGACTCTAGGTGCGCCAGGGCAGTTTCCATTGCCTGGGCCAGGCGTTCTTCAAGTGCCATGTAGGTGAGAAACTGAGGATCCACGTAGGAAATGGCTTCGGCCACCCCCAAGCCATCTGCAAACCCATCAAAGAGGCTCCAATCCACTTCTAGGTCTTCACTCACGCTGGAGTCATCTTCAAGATTGTTGTTTCCATCGAGCATGAACACCCCAGGCTGTAGATACTCCTGACCAGATTCATTATCCCCCTCACTGCTACTCTCATTTTCGTTGTACTGGAGCCAAGGAGCTTCTCGTTCTCTGGGGGATGCGTGTTCCTCTTCCTGAAGAGATGGTCCTCGGAGGTCTTCCAGTTCACTGCTGCTATTGCTGCCGGCGCTGGCGCCGGTACCCGGGCTGGCACTGGCGCTGGCACCAGCATTCACTCTGACCTGCTCAGAGTTGTGCTCTTCTTTCCCTGGCAGAGTCTCCCAGCTTTCACCACTGGACAACAGATTCTGCTCTCGATCTCGATACTTCTGCCGCAGAGCAGCAGTCCACTCTTTGTCACTGTCAGAGTCTTCATCACAGTATTTGTAGTAATCATCGCTGTATGTCCAGAAGTCAGGGTCAGCCATGGTTCGCCGCCGTCTTGGTACCTTTTCTGGCTTCCTTTGGTCATTCCTGGCTTCCCTCTTGTCTTCGGGGTACTTCAGCTCAGAGTAGCCACCTGAACTCTCACCTCTGGCTCTTCTTGCTAGGCCATCCGAGTGGCCTTCGGCGTTGGCTGTATCCCTCCACCTGGAAGTACTATGTGGCATATCATCATCATCATCAGTATCAAAAAATATTTTTGGTTTCACGCAGTTGGGGCTCGCCAGATTTCTGATTTTAGGCCTCACCACTGGCTCCTCTGCACTCTTGGGGGTGTTTTCCCCACCACCACAAATACTCACAGGAGCCCTGCTGGGATGTGCAGGGAAATTCTGCTCCCGTCTCTGACTCTCCCGGCTGTCACAATGGGTAGCCACCTTGCCTTCAGCAGATATCTGAGAGGCCATGCTATTTTGCTGCAGGAACTCAGCTCTGCTAACAGAGCATCTTGCTGCAGGGGCCGGGTCTAACTTGTCAAGCTCCTCTCTCACATCACGCTTAAAGCTAGAGAACTGTGGAGCCACCCCAGCCAAAGACCTGGCCCCTTTCTCTGGGTCGTAGGGCTTATCATCTTTAAACTTGCCAGTTTTCCCTCTAACTGGTGCTCGCTCAACAGGCCCAGCCCCCTCCTCCTCACTATCATCTGCCCCAAAAGAGTCAACATGTCCATAAGCCAATCCTCTTCTGCTACCTGAAGCCCTGTACTCTCTCGGTGGGTACCTGGAGTAGTCCTCATTATCAACATTCAGGCTGGCTCCAGAGCTCTCACTGTCTTCCCAAGTACGACGGGTGATGGAAAATGGTGACCGGCTCCTCTTGGTGGTTTGACTGGGGGCTGATCTGTGCATTGGGACTTCGGATGTTGTCTTTCTCTGGCTGGAAATCCTGTCCTGCTGGCTCGAGGATGGCCTGAAACTGACATAAGCATGCCTTCTTCCATACCTCCTGCCTGTATTGGACTGATACCCTCCTGCTGGCTTGGGCCATACGGGCTTGCTAGATTCCTGACCCATGGCTCTGACTTAGGAGGGTTTCCAATATAGCTGGGCCTTGAGCGGAAAGGCTCCTGCTCCCTGCACAAGCTTGGGAGATGGGAAAGTCAAATCAGTTCAGAATAAAAGAGCAGGGAGATCTATTTTCACTTCAGCAGGCAGGTAACAGAAAGGATAAGGGGCCTTTACAATTAGTTTCACTTTCTTCTAAGGCCTGAAGTAGCATTCCAGTGACTGTCAGGTGTAGACCTGGAACACATTTTTAATGTTGGCAAAATGATTACAAAGCTGGGTTGGTTGGAGAGCCAGACTTGGGGGAGAATCTGACAGAAGATGGGGGTGCCTGGATGCTAGGAAGGTGGGTGAAGTAGTGTGAAATTAGGCCAATGTGGAAGAGGAAAGATTGTTGTGGTTATCTTATGGGGTATCTGCATCTTTTCTGAGCCCTGCAGACAGACAGGAGAAATGCAAATTGGGATGGGGTGAAAAAGAGATCACCATGTGTTCATGAATGCCTAATGTGTCTGTCAGGAGGAGAGGGACAGGTGGAAGGGGGGGCAGTCATCATGCAATGAAGAGATGCATGTTTGTAGGGGGAGGGGACAGGTGTACTGGGAAGAGGCGTTAGTGTCAGACAGAAGGACACCCATTCTGGATGTGGGTAGGGAAATGACAGGTGCCAGGGTAGGGGGTGGCTTCAGAGGAGAGGGGTATGTGTAAGCATGACAGAAAGATAATGTGCATGTGTGGCTGTATATGTGCAGTGGCTGCAACTCTGTGGAGGGAGCCCATTTACATGTCTGTGGCAGGCAAGAAAGGGTTTGGTAGCACTGGACAAGGGTGGCCATGGTCTGTGAGTATTCAGCAAAATGGGAGGCAACAGTGGAGAATGTCAGTGTGAGTGAACGCATCCATGAGAGGGACAGCACAGGAGAGGGATGTGAGGGTGGCTGGTGGGTGGAATAGGGAGCCAGCAATCAGGGAAATATGTGTATTCACGAATGTGGCTAGCTGGGAGGTGATGGTGTCCCCAAAGAAGGATTTATGTGAGTGTTTGCACTGCAGGGACCAGCAAAGGAGGGCTGTCTATGCACGTATGTAGCAGATGGGGAGCAGGGCTGGGAGCATCTGTGAGGGCTGTGTGAATGAGAGTGTGTGCGTGCATATATATGTATGTATGTATGTGGCACATGAAAGAGGAGCCAGCAATCAAACGCTATCGTTATGTGTGTGGCAGGCAAGGGCTAGGGCAGCCCCAGAAGGGGTGTGTGTGGTGTGTGTGTGCTCACACAGAGGCAGAAGAAGGAGGGGGCTGCTTCTGGAGGTATGTGGCAGGCAGTGAGAAGCAGGGAAAGACACAGGAGGGTGTGACATTGTGCAAGAGTGTGTGTATGTGTGTCTGTCCACGTCCTCAAGGGGAAGAGGATGTGCCAAAACCTTGAGTATGAGGGGGGTGCAGGGAGGGGGCTGCAATGAGAGGTTTCTGTGTGTGTGTCTGTATGTATGCCTGTGTACGTGTGCGTGCATGTGCACGCGCACCATGCATGCATGTGTCTGTGTATGTCCCTGCCCACACATGCGAGACATGGGGAGGGGGAGGGGGTCACAATGTCATAAAGAGAGATGGCAAAACGTTACTGCTCACACGGCAACTCCAAACCAATGGCCAGGGAAGGGGAATAAAAGAAAGGAAAGGCAGGCAAGGGTCTAGTTTTTCCCTGGTAATAATTTGTTTCTCAGACCATTCTTTTTCCTGGGAACAATAATATATTTACCTAAAAATCTGAACAATTTGCCATTCAGGAAAAACAACTGCAAAATGGGGGAAGACAGGACATGGAGTGCTCTGTAAAGGGACCAAGGAGGGAAGAAGTAGGGGAGGGCCCGGACCCCCACTCCCCTCTCAAACAGCAATTAAAGCCATTCGAGTAGAGGCCACGCCATGCGAAGGCGGCTGGGAGATGGGGGATGACGCCCCCGAACAAGTCGGGGGATACAGGCCTCACTCTGCAGGCAGGTCCTGCGTCCACCCCACCCCTTCCCAAGGGGCGCGCCTGAAAATCTGTTCGCTAGAGGACCCCGAAGAATCCTCGTCCCCATGCCCCGCCACTTGCCCCGCCGCCCCTTCCGGATGAATTGAGGAAACAGCCTTCCACTCACCCAGGGCTGACACCCGCGCGCTCTTCTGGACGAGCGGAGCTCTAGGGGCTCTCGGCCGCCGACCGTCAGGGCCGCCGGGGCTGCTCCGGGTCTCCAGCTCCTCCCCCGCCAGACAGCAGCCGGGCAGGCGGCGACTGCGGCGGAGGAAGTGCTGGTGGCGTCGGCCGGGCCCGCCCCCTCGATGTGGCGGGGCGGCAGCTGCTCTCGACCAATCAGGCTGGGCCCGAGAGCATGATTTCATTTTAAATGATGAAATCGTCAAGGATACAGAAAAGGACAGCAAAAAATGTGACCAACAGCCAGCTTTAGCAAATGTTAAACATTTAGCCATACCCTCTTCTGTTCTGGGTTTGTTTTGTTTTGGTTTTTGTTTCCCCTTTTTAAAGATGAAGTCCACAAATTCTTCCTGATTAATTCCGATGTTCAAGTAATTACAATAATATATCATATCCTATGTTATATGGCATGGTTTGTACTAGAAGCATAAAAAAATGTGAAATTTTATCTAGAGTTGCAGGTTCGTTTTTTTTTTTAACCTGGTAATTGAAGCAATTGAACTGTTTACAGTAGAATTTGTTGCTGTTAATTTTTTTCTCTGTTAACGAAACCAACCTTTTCTATCCAAAAGAAATGATCAGTCATGAAGCGTAATACCGACTCACAATCTGGTAATCTCATTGCAGTTTAAAAATACTATAGCTATACCTTTTGGATTTGTATAATTTTACAGAATTCTGAACTCTTTTTTATTAATTGCACTTTACAATGCATCTTTAATATTTATGGAATGTAAAGACTCTCCATGTTCACAATAGCAAAGTTTTGTTCTTGGAAACAAAATGCACAATACAAGGACAGGAAACATTAGGGTAACAAATATAATAGGAATAGGATGTATGTGTAACAAACCACTAAAAAAAATAATATGTTGAACAAAGAGAAAAATTCAATCTATCAAACTGCAGAAGTGAGGTGGGAGGCAACAAGAAAGGATATTTTTTAAGACCCAAAGGGCAGGAATAAATCCAAGTATATCAGTATATAGTATGGATTAACACTAATTTAAAAAAAAAGCAGACTCTCAGAAATCCTGAGTGGCTCAGTAGTTGAATGTCTGCCTTTGGCTCAGAGCGTGATCCCGGTTCAGGGATCGAGTACCACATTGGGCTCCCTGTGAGGAGCCTGCTTCTCCCTCTGCCTAAGTCTCTGCCTCTCTCTGTGTCTCTCATGAATAAATAAATAAAATACCTAAAAAATAAAAGGCAGACTCTCATTTTAAGTATTTTGTTTTTCTTCAAATCTGATTATATGCTGTTTATATGAGTTTCACTTAAAGCAGATATAGAAATGGAAAATATATGCCAGTTAAATACCACAAGAAATGAAGGAAGGAAGGAAAGGAAGGAGTGAGGAGGGAGGAATTAAAAGAAAAAAAGAAAAGCAAGAAAGAAGACAAGAGACATGTACCAAGGTTGATATCAGAAAAATCAAGAACTCAAAGTAAAAAGGATTAAAGAGAACAAAACAGGTTCTTTCATTCATAGAGAGGATGCAGTTAGTAAACTTTCTATGCCAAGCAATGTGATTTCAAAATATATAAGGCAAATATGTTAGAAATATGAAGAGAGATCAGAAAGTTTTCAGTTATAGTGGGAGACTTAACCACACTTATTATGGTATAAATGGACCAAATAGACTACAAACTAAGGATATAGAGAGATTGAACAACACAATTAGTAAACCTAATATAATGTTTATATTTTTTGTACTCAAGAAAGGATGCGATTTTTATCAGATAATTTAAAATATTTCCAATATACAGAAGAGTATAAAATGCATGTTTGCATGTACCTGTCATACAGATTAAGCAGATTTTATTTTCTTCAGATGCTCAGATACGAGTCTATACCTTTTATCATGTAATTTATGCCTGATAATGTTTCTTGCTCTGACATGGGCTTTATTTGGAATTAACAGAGTTGCTCCAGCTTTCTTTTTATTAATGTTGGCATGTATATCTCCCTTTATCCATTTACCTTTAATCTCTCTGTGTCTTTATATTTAAGATGAGTCTCTTGTAAACAACATCTTTTGGGGGGGGTCTTTTTAAAAAATCCATTCTGATAGTCCCTGCTCTTTTAACTGATGTAGTCAAACAGTGATTCTTGATAAGTTGGATTAATATTTACCCTATTTATAACTGTTTCCTATTCATTGCCTTTGTTCCTTGTTTCTCCCTTTTTTCTGCCTTCTCTAATTTTAATTGGGCATTTTATAAGATTCCACTTTTTCCTCCCATAATTTCAATTATATTTCTTATTCTTACATTGTTTCAGTGGTTGCCCTTGAGTTTGCAATGTACATTTACAACTAATCCAATCCCATTTTCAAACGATACAACCTTACTTCATGGGTTGTGCAGGTACCTTATAACAGAGTACACCCAATTCCTCCCTCATGTCCTTTATAACATTGCTGTCATCCATTTCACTTGTCCATAAGCCATTATCATCCATTACATTGCTGCTATTTTTTAACAAATTGTTATTTGTTAGATCAGTTAAGAAAAATGCAAGATTTTGTCCTTTTATACTTTTATTTACTCCTTCTCAAATCCTCTGCCTTTTTAAAACATAGATCTAAGTTTCTGTCCTATGTCATTTTTTTTGTCCTGGAAATTTTCTTTTGACATTTCTTCAAGGCAGATCTCGGGAGTGGCATCCTAATGTTTATACCATTTTTTTAAATAAATGGTCTAGGGGTCTAGTCCACACTTATGGGGAGGGGGTACCCCAAGGTCAGAAATGCCAGGAGGTGGGGCTCACAGCAGGCAGGACACGGATCAGAGCATCTCAACCTCAACTTGAAATGCCAAGCCATTTTCCAAAGTTGTTGGACCAATTTATTGATTACTAGGAATTCTTTATATATTCCAGAGACCAGATGTCAGTTATATTTGTACAGTTGTAAACACTTTCTCCAAGTTGGTGTTTCCTTCAAATGTCAATATGAATTTATAAAAGTACTTAAAACAAACTACGGGGAAGGTTTTTTTAAAATCCTGAAGTAGATGAGACCTCTATGAGTTTGACAAAACATACAAGAGCCAAAGAAAGAAGGGGTTCAATTACATAAAAACAAAATCCTCCAGCAGGCAAAACATACAGAGATAGATAAACAATTCAAAGTAAAACACAAATGAAAACCTGGGGAAAATATGTGCTGCTAATTTCACATATATGCATATACATATATACACATACCTGTATAATGTTTGATACATTCACAAACGAAATCCTATGTGCATTTAAAAAATTATAGCCTTTTCTTCTATGTACTTGTCTCCCTCCTCTATCTATATCACTGCTCTCCATAACCTACTTCAGTAATATAGTATTCATTATTTCATGTTTTTCTTTATATGTGAATAATCAGATACAGAGACATGTATACTTATGTGTGTATGTGTGGGATATGTGCATGGGTTTTTGCTTATCCTTTTTTATTAAAATGGGATCATATATGTATTTTTGTACTTCTTGCTGTTCTTACTAAATAATACTTCCTGAAATCAACTGGTATGGCTTGAATTACTAATCTTCAATGACTGCCTAGTATTCATGTTGTGGATTTGCCATAATCTATTCAACTATCAACTATTGATAGATGATTATGATTTTCAGGGTTTGTTTTTTTTAACACTATGAGCAATGCTGCAGTGCATGTACATATCCGTCCTTAGGTGCCAGGGCTTTCATTTCCATGGAATAATGTCCCAGAGGTAGGGTTGCCAGGTCGAATGATGCATATCCTTTTAATTTTAGTAGATGGTATCAAACTGCTTCTTCCCCAAGGCTGGAGCCCTTCCAATTTCCACTGGCAATGTGTGGCCCTGCACCATGGCTAGCTTGACTGATCCTAGAGCACAGATTCCTGACCTGGGGATTTGAAACTCAAAAGGAGACACACAGATCCTGGGAAGATTGGAGCTGAGTCATGTTCAAATCAATCAAACAATTCTGAAAACTAGCCCAATATCTTTGAAATACAGCCTTATCTTCTGCCTGAGTTAGCCAGAGTTGAACTCTGTTGCTTGCAACCAGAAGGAATGTATGAACCCTGGTCACATTGAACTTGGTCACAAACTTAGCCTTAATCCCAGCTACAGAGTTAACTCTGATCCAGGCCACAGACTCCATCATCACCAGTGTTGGGAGACTGAGGGCCATTCCTGGCCCCAGATCTCCCTGATTCCTGCTTGGATTCCTGCTTGGCATCTTTCTCGTGATGCTCCTGGCTGCAAGAGGGGCAGGTGAGCCAGTGGACACATTTTAGGCAAATGCATCCAGACCCTCAAAATTAAATCCTCTTTGTAGGGACTCATGCTGATGACTTTGGAGACAGAGGGGAATTCCTTATGAAGAATAATCATAAAGTCTAAGTCAGAGATGTCTGGGGACCTCTGGGTTGCAGGGAATGATAGGTCAAAAGGGAACCTTGATCAGAATGGGGATCAGGGGTTTAGTTGTGGAGACAGACAATGAGGGCAACAAACTCTGAGCCTGGCTCAAGGTAGCAGGGATGGAACAGGGATGTGGGATGGGGACCAGATGTCCGAAGCTGGATGGGGCCAAGCTGAGTCTCATGCTAGAGCCTAGATGGGTCCCAATGAGACAGAAGATCCTGTGCCCCAGGATAACCTAAGAGTAGATGCCATCAAGAGAGGTTCAAGCAACCTGCAGTCCAGAGGCCTTCTCTATTTCTCATAACCATCTGGCACTGCCTGGACCAGCAGGATGGGCCCCTGTGCTGTCTGGCCCTCTCCCCACTGTCCTGACTTCCCACAGGCTCCAAAGCCACCTGCCTCCTCTTCCTCCTCTGGCCCTCCAATCTCTCCTGCCCTCCATCCTTTCCCCTGGCTTAACTTCACATTGCGTGCCTCCTGCCAAGTTTCAGGGATTAGGACTGTCTACTGTGGGACCTGGCTCCCTTCTCTTCTCGCCAGAGCCAACAAGCTCTTGCTAAGAGCTGGTCCCAGCCTCTCCCCCAAGGATCTCTGCCGGAAATCAGGAAGAGATTCCTGGGAGTGGGGCTGGAGGGGCAAGCCCAGAGTGTGGGGAGGAGACAACAACTCA